TTTGTTTCGCGTTTTTTATTCCGGTGAATAACGCGATGATATGTAAAATAATTTTTTCACATGTCGTTAGTTGGGATAGCGAAACAATATTATTTCCGTTGCATGTATGTTTTTTCGGTTGGATTGAGACTGTTTTGCTATCCATGTTACATGTATGTTCTTTTGATTGGATTGAGATGAGTCTGACGATGCAAGGAATTTGTTAATTAGGGATTTTATTCTGAAAATCTGAACATTATGCTTCTGCACCAAGTGGACTACATAATTGAGGAAAGGAACCAATATATTATACACTGTGATGTGATATGTATTATTTGGTATTTTTCTGGTATAATTAAATGGTGGCAAAATAGAGCCCAGGAATCGAATTGAATTCCAACTTCCATAAAAAGAGTTGTATGCGTGTAAATATGCTTTTGTTACCTTTGATTGATACACGCAATTATAGAAAATTCAGTATTTTACCGGTAAAGAAGCCACTACGTTTGAAATTCAATTTCTTTTTTTCTTTTTTTAAATAAATAATATTTGAAAATTCTCACTTGTACAAAGCTCTAAAACATTATGGTGGTTAGTTAATTAATGAAAATAAAAATTATGGTGCCTAAAGTTAAAGAAAACCATCAATTCAGCAAAAATTATAATTACGTAGCAATGGGTTTGGCTAGTTTGTTAGAACAGTAAGCTCGTCCCCTTACATTCAAATTCGAATACTCATTTTCATGATTTATATTAATTTAAAGTAGTATAGACTATTATTTGTATATATACATATATAATCCTCATTACCACCAAGTGGCTTTTCAATCCGCAGCTAATACATAGCAAACTTTGATTGTTGACAAGAAACACTCATTTTCAGAAAGAAAGAAAAAGTTCAATAGTTGATTCTAGTGGGTATGTAATATGGTGTATAATTGATAATGTAATGATCACTCGCACCATTAAGCCTTGCCCCACCCACCCAAGCAAATCATATTATTATTATTATTATTTTTGGAATGATCATATTCTTATTCACTGTTAAGTAACACAATTATATAGTGCATAAAGCAGCAACAACCGCAAACGATCCATTAATATAGTGGTTTAGAGCAATTACTTCCCCATAAAAAATCATAGATTTGAATCATAGCATTCGTATACTGTGCAACATTAGTATATTATTACCCCAATGAAAACAACACCGACCAATCATCATGAAGTTATATGGCAATAATTTTCCAACCAAAGTGTACTTTAACTACACCTGTGATCTCCGGACGGAAAGTCACTTCTACTTTCTTTTTCTTTTTTATCGACAGAGATTTTATTCTTTTTAGTGAAGTGAATTTCGATTTCAACCTTACTTTCTTTCTTTTATGCATAAAAAAATAGAACCCACATACCCAAATGACCCTTTAAAAATACATAAAATAAAATAACAACTTATGTTTCTATCACAGTAAAAATTATTTGCCAACCAGTTTATTTTTATGTTTAATTGATTAGATAGAGGGGGAAATTGTAAGTGGCAGGTGCCAACAATGAATGCACATTTGATATATTAAGGGATTAATCAGAATGCAAAAAAAAGTTGAGAAGTCTTTCAAAAGAAGTGCTTGTTAGGACAAAATTGAGAACCCCACAATTATTTCCGACAAGTTGATGAAGACCTTCATTCATTCATTATCACAATCTCGAGCCGGAAGAAACTTCAGATGAATTTTTGGTGCTTCTCTAGAACTTCATCATGATTAAGACTATTTTCAAAGTACTCTAAGGTATATTAGCCTTTGTTCCCTAAAGCAATAAGTTTAATATAATCATAGTTAGCCTTTTGTCCAATCAAAATTAATATTTGACTGGTTTAATTATCCTCTCTTTTTATGTTAATACATGATATATGCATTGCCCAGCATTTGAGGTCCCAGTCCCACTCACCTGGAAAAGTAATTTAAACCCATCTAAATCTATATTCTCCAAACCACTTGTTTCATGAAATATTATTATTATTATTATTTAGGTAAAGAAGGATTAAATTATATGTAATTAGTCTATCAGAACAAATTTATGTTCAAAACTTTAGATACTTTGTCTACCAGCATGACAAGATCTAATTGATGTCATAATATCGTTCCTAATAAGAAATTTTTTTTAGTACAAATGATTAGGAAGCGGGGTTTATACAAATATTCATTGGATGCCAAGGTTTCGAATAAGAATAACTCAGTTGTTCATGACAATATATCAACCATAAAAGAAGGGCATCAATTCCCTTTCAAGTCATCAGACAGCATCTATTTCCAAATATTCTGCCACAATTTTATCTCCAATTCTGCTAATAAAATCCACTCCCCATTGCTGGTTTGGATATTAGAACTGCTTCATGGCTTAATAGTAATAATCTGCTTTATCACTGAATCAGATTCCAGCATAGAACCATACCATACCATCACATGATTGATAGCCTTCTGCAGAATTTAAATCATCCCCAAAACTGGTTTACCCTTTTACTCTATAGTTTTTACTTAACCTCTCCTACACACAGACCAATAATTAATGGGAAAAGCTATAGCCAGACACATGTGATATATTATGCTATATGTGAACCATCAAACCATCAAACCATCAAACCATCACAGGTTTCTATTGACCCAAAAAAAAAAAGGCCTTCACAGTTCATCATCTTCCTGTGGAAAGCTTGGAGATGTGTCTCTGCATCAAACACATTGCATTTCCCAATGCAACTCCTGTGATGAGTTGACTTGACAAGATGTGAATCAAAACATAGATCAATAAAAACATAAACGAGAAAAGAGTAGTTGTCATTTGTCCAATGCATACGTGTCTAGCAGAGATTATGAGCTCAAAATAACCCAAGAGAGGGGTCCCCCGAGACAAGAAAAGAAATGGTGACAAGAGATTGAAAAAATTATAATTAGCATAGGGCAGACTAAAATTATAATTAGCCGTACGTGAAATGATTAAATTTAAATTGGAAATGGGGCATTTTTATTATTCGAAGATAGCTCATCAGAAGTGGAAATTCAGTTAGATGGTTCATTCATCATCTCTTGATTGGGATAATCAATCATATTATTCGTTTGTACTTTAACATGCGAATTAGTAACATTACGTGAATGAACTGTCTTTTATTATTTTTGTAAAGAAGCGTTTGCTTGAAAAGGAAATTGGGAGTTGGGAATATTTGAGGGAATGCAATATGATGGGCAATCATATCATATCACATACAGGTAGGTGGTATAGGGAAACTTTTGGTAAAGATAAGTTAGCTTGGTTGGGTTCTGAAATTGACAGCCTTGTCTCATGTATGGTTTAGCTAAGTGCTATATGGGGGACCATATCGGTCTGTTGCCTTCTCTTTTTAAATAATTGCATGTCATCATCTCTTGCAAAGCCTGATTTTCTTGTTTGTGAAGAACCCTTTTTGTCAATTCTTACACTTTTGCTTTTTAAATTTAAGATGATGAGAACAAAGTACATAAATCAACATTGCTTTGTACGTTCTATATATCATCACAGTTTAGAACTAGCGACTAGCCTTGACACTGCTGAGATCGGATCCCTTCAGAAGAAAAATGTTTTGGGTTTATGAGAGAGAAGGATGAAACAGATTACAAAAAAAAAATGGCTACAAAGTGAAAAAGAACAAAATTGTTGGGGAAATTATAAGTTATATGAAGGTACACACATATGTGAGAGGTCGATCGACTGATAATAAAAAAAATCTTTATTTGAAATTTTCCCAACATAGAATTAGAGCATCTCCAACCGATGTGTTAAAAGTGCCACATAGACATTTAACAGCTAGAAATAACATCTCACATCACTCTAACCGATATGTCAAAGCTTACGTGGAATGAAGGCTGGAGGTTGAGATGTTATTTTTGACATCCAAAAAGCAAGATGTCAAATGAATATTTTATTATTTTTTAAAGACATTTGTATGCTACTTTCATTTATTTTTTTCTTATTTTTTTCTTCTTCTTTATCTTAAATGATTTGACTATTACAATAATTATTTATTTGACATATCGGGTGGAGTGTAAAACTGTGTAAATGTCAAATTACCACATCAGTCATCAAATTTAAATTTGATGTTTGGTATTTAACATCTCCCTTGGAGATGCTATTAGCGGTGAATATAAATCAAGCCAATTCAACTCAATTAAAAATTAGGTTGGATTAGTAGTTACGAATATTTACACATGTACCTAAGATTCAATTTTTCCGTTTTCCAATATTTCTTGTGTTTAAAATTAAAAAAAAGAAAAAGCAAAAAAAAGAAGCTAGGTTGTCAATTTCATTTTTAACTTTGGGGTCAATTTTGACAAATAGAAAAACAGAGCCTAAAATGAAGAAGAAAAAAGAAAAAGAGAAAGACCTTAATAGGCCCAATTAAAGGAACCCACTTGACTACTCGAGCCCAAAATGACTACTGGAGCTCAATAGGCTTTATTATATTTTTCCTCTTCTTCTTCTTCTTCTTTTCTTGGGCCAATAGTTGGAGCGTAATATCACTATTACGTTAAAAAAATGTAAACTTGGGAAAACACGGTGACTAATTTGGATAAATTTGTTTCTCAATTAAATTGTATTTTCATGTAAAACTCAGTTACCAAAAAAGTATTTAACCCAAACATAAAATAAATTGTATGCAAAGCAATATCACTACCTTTTTCAAATAAAAGCCATATCACTAATGCACTCCTCTCCTTCATCCTCTCAGTTGATGGATAATAATACTTCACAGATTATTTCTTTTTCCTTTTTTTTGGGGGTGATTTATGACTATTAACACTTAAATTTTTTTTTTCCCTTTAAAAAAAAAAAACTTTAAATTAATCTAACCTATGGGAAGGGGGATTCGAAATTGGATGTAGGGCGGACTCATTGTCTTGGCCAACTGGCATAACCCACGTTTGCCTGGAATTTTTTTTCCGTTGATCTCATTAAATCTAACAGTAGACCAGCATGAGTTTCTTTGTAAACTAGACTTAGAATTAAAAATCACAATCACAATAGATAAGATCAGAGTAGCTGTTGCAACAACATCCCTATGGCTTACATTCATAATTTTCTAAGTACAATCCCAAAACTGATGGGGTTAATGTCTCCTTTGGCAGATTCCTCATCAATCAATCTTCCATAAGTCTCAAACAAACTGTCCAAGAGTTTTTCTCCAAAATGCTTGGCAATCATTGATTCTTGAATAGCCCTCACAGTCCTTGCACAACTTGTTCCATAGCTCTCATTATCCTTGTCCCCCCTCTGATCCAGCTCTAGCACCTCCAACCTGTCCAATTCAAAAGAACCCTCTTTCCTCACTTCATCTTCTATTTCATCTCTGGATGGAGCATAGAAATGCACATCATATGAATCAAGCTTTTCCTCCTCCACTTCTCCCTAAAAACCAAAACAGAAAAAAATAAATAAATTAAAAGCTCCATAAGTGTTTAAGTCATCTCTGGATGGTGTGCATATATTATTAGTACCTTGGAAACCAAAATGGCAATGGACTGAGAGAGAAGCTCCCAGAAGAAAGAGTTGCCTCTGTCAACATGATCAGGGCCTCTCCTACCCAGCAAGATCAACACCATTCTTCCTCCTACAGTCAACTCCTCAGACCTTGACTTAAGGAACAAAGTGAAGTCTTCTTGAAATTGCTTCAGGTAAGCTTGAGACACTCCAGGAGGGCTTGATTCAGAAATGTGAACACTTCCTTTGTTTATTGACTTCCCCTGCTCATAGATGGCTGGAGGAACCTGCATGGCATTTGGTCATTACATAAACAGTAAAAAAGCAAATTAATAAATATGAAATTCAGGAATCTGAATATCGCACTCTAGACAGCCAGTGTAAACTGCAGGATGAGTAGACAAAGTGCAAGGAATTGTTGGGAAAAAGTCTTCCATAAAATGAGCCTGGATAGCCTCCTATATAAATAGAAGCAGACCCATCATTTCTTTCTTTGCTGAGGCCTTTAGAGAAGTCTGGCAAGGCCTTGAAGATGGAGTTGAAGTCATTGGATGGAAGATCATTAAGGTACACTCTGAACTCTGGTGTTGGGTGAAAGATTTTTCTACTTGTCCCTTGGACTGCTTCAATGATGTCTTTGATAATTGATAGGGTGTTGGGGCCAGATGAACAACCCAAGTCAGCTATGCCTAAGCTCTTTGGAGTTGTGGTGAGGTAAAGTTCTTGTATTGCCTCTAATGTTATGTCCTTCACCATATCAGAAACCTCCTTCTGTCACAATAGAAAATCAAAAACACAAAAAAGAAGAACATGTAAGGAAATAAACATTGTGAAATCAAATTACTAAGTGAGAGTGAGAGTGAGAGTGAGAGTGAGAGAGAGAGAGGAGAGAGAGAGAGAGACCTGAAGTGAAGAATTTCTTGCATAGCTAGTATGGCCAACCCCTCCATTCATGTGGAAGACTTTCTCTACATCCATGCTTGTTGAAGCTGCCTTGAACTTGGTGGTGCCTTGCTTTCTTCACTGTTATTATAAAGACAAGTTCAAATGATGCATCTCTTTACCCTTTGGGGGCACCTATCCTTTTTAAAATACATATATTCTTCATCATGGTAATTCATATTGCCTTTTCATAATCCAACTGTCATGATTATGGGTACAGTTTGTGGCTTGGCAACCTATCTCCAAAATGGCCCATCATTGCTTTGCTTAATCCGAACAGTAGAGAATATATCGTATCCTATTGGACATTGCCTAAGCTTAATCCCTTGGTAAACAAGCACTAAAAATGTTTAACATAGCATAAAACACGGCAATTTTTTACTGCAGAAGGTATGACATTTCTTACTTTTGACTTGGAATTGTCTTTCAAAAACTTCTGGCTTTGGACATTATCTGCTCCTCAATTTGAAAAGTCTGTTTGTTGGCCAATGACCAACTTTCGTGCCTGAAATGAAGTCATATTGATGGAGATGGTTCAAGCTTTTAGTGCATGATGATAAGGCTTATAAGCTGGCTTTAGTCCCAAACTTTTCCCCAAGTTGTCTGGGGAAGCAGGACTTTGCGAATCACTGAGACGCACTGTTTACCCTGGTTGAAATTTTTTGACATACTTTACCTGGTTGTCTATATCCTGTCACAAAGAGCACGCCTGGTGGACACATGTCGGCTGAGGGGGCAGTGACTGGTGCCCATGAGGCTGTGTTATCCAACACATACATGAACTTCAAAGATGAGTCCCGGTATTGGTCCTCGCTACAATTACAGAATCAATAAACAGATTGTGAATCACTATGATTGCTATTTGGAATAGCATGGAATAAGTGGAAGTTGGGTTTGTTGTGCTCAGAGCACCAAATGGAAACAAATAATTATCTAATAAAAAAACAGAAAATGCTTCTTATTAGTGAGGTTACCAAGTACAAAGAGAAAATAAGATTTCTCACAAAATGACTCTTCTAACAGTTCCTCCAGGAGCCTCTTTTATAACCATAAGTCATAATTGAGACACGTGTACTGTAATTATTCTCCAACCAAAAAAAAAGTACTATAATTATTCACATAGGTCATAATTGAGCTACGAGTCAACAAGGTTGTGGTCAATTCTAAAAGATTAGTAATACTGAAACATAGTCACGTGATATAATTATTTCAGGTGTTATAATATAGGCGGACATACTTTAATGTCTAGTGTTAATCAACAAAATACATGTTACAATATATGTGATACGTTTTAACATGTGGTAGTGTTTTAGTACCATCCAATAATTTCTCGTTAGGTTAGTATACCTTATTATTTTTTCCAATAATTTGAATAAAAGAATAACTAGAACTTTTAAATATATAGTTTCATCTATTGAATTAAATAGCAAATGATTACATTGAAAAGATGATTTGATTGTCTTAAAAAAAAAAAAAGATGATTTGATTGAGAAATTTTGTGTCACTAGTACAATATGAGTACATCCCTCTTCTTGCTTTATTATTATTATTATTATTTTGGCTATTTTCAGGTAAAAAACATCTCTTAGGCATGGGCTAATTACATTTTGGGCCTAAAAGCTTTGTTCAAAATCTGTCAAACCCAAATGGAAAATAATTTCTACCCAGAAAGTTTCCAGGTTCATGAATAAATTTGACCTTTGTTTCAACTGTGAACTCCATAATAACATGTAATGCTATTAAAATCAACCATGACTTCTTCCCACTTATCATGCACTATAAAAAAAATAAAATAAAAACAGATGTGTCTGTCGTGGAGTTTGTGTCCATTTACAAGAACTACAAGCATGACGGGGTTGTGGTGGACCGCTGAAAGAGGAGCAAAGCAGACGAAGGAGAAAAAAAGCGGAGACACGCATATGAGGCCAATAATTCTCCTTTTTGTATCGCTTTTTAGCTTTTGCTTCTTCAACATAATGCGTTTGGCAATCAATGCTTTTCTTGTCTTCTTGGCCTCAGCTCGTTGTGACCTAACTTCAAAGAGAATCCACGGAATCATTTTAAAGCCGTAGAGCTTATTTCATTTACTTTTCAGAGGATAGACTGTCTGTCCTCCTGCACATAGTCCATTGGTGATTGGCCATCTTTGCTTACGAGGAGGAACTTTTTTGTGAATTTGCACTTTTGGTTTGAGGAATCAATGCAGTGGAGTACCAGCAAAGTCAACTTTATCCACCCCTCATGGGTTGTAGACTCTACTCTTTGATTTTCAGACCCGAGTAATTTTTGGGTGAGCGTGAGATTGTCGTATACTTCAGGTCCACTCGTTCAATCCACCTTCGAATCCCTCTCGAGTCTCACCTACACGCGACTATAACATGTCTCAAAAACAATGCTGTGGGATGAGTTTATCTCTTCATGAATTGAGGAGCGCCGGATGGCACGGATCCATTGCATTGCCTGATAACTTAACATGTGATGTGAGCAAATAAGACAGTACATAAATGGACAAAGAGATCTAACGAGGAAGCTACACACTGTATTGCCATTGCAACCTAGTTATCTTGTATCCTAAAGAAACAAAAAAGAAGACAGAGAAATTATGGAATTCATAAATAATTTACATAAACAGTTGAAGAGAGAAACATGCACCTTTCTTTGTTTACAACGACAATTAGGTGGGCTATCTCCACCTGCTTATTTATATTTGTTATTGTTGGTTTGTGTTTAGCCGATTGTACATGTTGATGGAAGACATTATTCTACGAAACCTAGAATCACTGTCAAGGATTTTCTTAATCAGTTGGTAGATTCTTCTGCTTGCTTGATACATTTCAGACCTTGTTTTTTTTTCTCTAAATTCTATCCATCACTCTATGTGCAGACAAAAAAAATGAAGTTCAAAAAAATAAATCAACTGTCAAAACGCTTTCATACAGCTACCCAGTTATATACAAGGAAGAAAACTTCCTTCGATACAGAGACATAAACTTCATTTCCTTTGTTATGAAATGTGTCGTTTTTAGTAATTAAAGTAAAATCAATTGTATTATTGTAAAGGTTAAAATGGCAAAAATAATATATATTTGGTTTTGTGACAAAGTCAAACAGCAGACATGGCATATGCATGCATCTTGATGATCTCTCCACTTTGTTAATTAAAAGAACCCGTCATGCTTTCTTGATGATTGCAGACGAAATGTCTCAAGTTCGAATTTCCATGTACGACATCATAGTTGTGTGTAAGAGAAATCCTATACTCTCTGTAGTTTAGATTATCGCTTGTACTTAAAAAAAAGAATTATAGGCTTATAATAGTCAAATTAGTCCCTATCCTTTGATTGATTGGATCACATATTTGTCAACATATGACTCCTGTTCTCTAGTCTTATATATATATATAATATTTTTCTAGTTAGCTTGTGTCTTGAATTTCCTCATATTGGTGTAACTTCTACTGCTTTTAGGTTAGGATTGGGTTATTTAATAGGATTGCCATATGGTGGACGGTGGTTGATGGCATGGGGAATCAAATTGTTGTCAAATAAAAACAAGTCAATGAAACATATGGGTTTCATCTCCTACACTTCGTTAGTCTTCATTTTCATCAAGTTGA